GGGGGGGGGGGGGGGGGGGGGGGGAGAGCCGCCTGTGCCGTACCATCACACTGAAGTAAACATGGACCAGAACTTGCCTTGGTTTGCCTTTTTTTCTTGTCTTTTTTTTTTTTGTCTGTCTTTGGTATTGGTTCAAAAGTTGCTAGAGATGCATAGACACCTGACTGAGGAACTGAGGACAGGCTCCAGGGAGGGAGCTGCCTGCCTTTGAGGGGCGGGGGTGGGGGCTCCCAGCGCAGAGCAGATTCCCTCGATGAGCAGTGCCCCACCCCGATGAGAGCCATGCCCAGGAGTCCTCCAAAGCCGCCTTCCCTCGAAGGCAAAGAAGCATCCAATTTCCCGCCTGCCATGTGCTGTCTGCTCTCAGCAGGGGAGCGAGCGGTTTCCGTCCCTCTCCAAACCCTTGTGTTTTCTCCGTGAGCTGCTTTCGGTAAATCTTTGGATTATTTTCCTTCCTTTTGAACTTCTTTGAGCTTTTTCTTCTTTTTTTTTTTTTTAAACAAAATGACTGCACCACAAAAAAATAATCATTATTATCATCCCTCTTTCCTGGGCCCTCTGCTGCACACCACTGAGGCCGGGGGAGGGGGGGGGAGGGGGGCTCCTTGTCTCTCGCACTCGGTACCTTTGAGTTTGTCCAGCTGCGTCTCAGTTCTGGAGGGAGTCAAGAGCCACCATGCAGTTAAGATGGAGGTTTTGTGGTGTCGTTGATGCCAGCCATTAAGGGAGGGTTTCCATTCTCCTGCTTTGGTGAGATGCGGCTGGCGGGGAGCAGGCCAGTGCTGAATGGGGAGGCCACGCTTCCAGTAGAGGACGGGCGGAGGTCCGTAGGAGGCAGGTCCCGGTCTGGAGGCCGTAAGCCTGGGGGTTGCAGTGGGAACGCCATGGGGAAGCTTGCCATGTACAGAACCCTGCCAACCCTCTTGGCGACCTACGGACAGAACAAAAGCAGGATAAAGAGGGTATAGGAATGGACACTGCTGTACATGTTAGCTGGAGGCCACATTCCCACGGATAAAGGTATGGGAGGAACTGCAGTGTTTGCCCCCACCCCATGTGATGAAGACAGACCCAAAGCTGGTCCTGCCCCACTCTCCACACAGCATGCACCAAATTAGGGCACCCCACACAGAGAGACAGCAGAGCAGAAGCACCTCTCCCGGTCGTACCTTACCCTCCTGGGGCCAAAAAACAGACAGTTGCCCAAGGTGGAGGGGGAGTATTGGGACTTGGCTTCCCACTCCTTCCCTCCATCCCATCTTGGATGGGCATGGCTCCCATCCCTGCCCCAATACATGACATCAGCCACTGACGGCTCCTGGCCTGCACCGGAGCCCTGTGCAGGGTGCCCTCTTCCCCAGGGAAGGCTGCAGGCAGAGGTGCAGGCATCCTGCCACTGTACATCTTGCTCTCAAGCCTGGAGGAAGCTGCCTCAGGATTTTACCCATCAGAGGAGCTGCCTCTGATCTCCACGGCTCACGCAGAAGCCAGCCCCTTCACTGGCATAGCACGTGCCCCCTTCCTCCAGCCAGGCGCTTTACACTGTCCCTTCCTGAGCCACTGCACCAGGTCTGAGTGGAGCCAGCTGTGGTGCAGAGCTCAGGGGATGCAGCAAAAACACAGGGGAGGGGGCTGGGAGCTGACAGCAGGAGCCCTCAGCAGTAGGACGTGCCTCACAGTCCCCCGTCATCTCCTTCCAGCTGGCTTTGGGCAGGTGGCACGGTCGTAAGAGCATGGCAGGGCATGTGCGTGCTCGGGCCTCCGCGGGGGATGGACGTGCTCTATGCCCCGTCAACCAGACTAGCGCTGAAGCAGAAGCCAAGTGAGCTGGGACTTCCTGGGAAAGGCAGGGAACTCGCACCATCTGGCCTGTCTGTCCTTGAGCACTGTGTAGTGGAGCGCTTTTTTTTTTTTTTTTTGCTTTTTTGGGGGAAGGGGGAACAGAAAGAGACAGGGAAGACTGGGACACAGCAGTGTGGATGGAGGGAGGCAGGAGGGCAGAAGGGGCAGGAGCAGCTCTGCCCTCCACTGCAATGTTATCCACCCTTTTTCTCCATAGCAAATGTGTCAGAAGCCAGTTCCTGGGACCTCTCCTCTGGCTGCTCAGCCATCTAGTTTGGAAACAGGAGATGCTAGGGACTGCCCTGCACTGGGCGCCCGAGTGGATGCAGTGTCGGGGGCCAAGAGGAGAGCGGCAGGGTGGCTGCTGTCAACTGTACAGGAAGCTGTGAGCCTGCATCATTTCCCCTGCGCACTCCCCTTCACCCCCTGCAACCCCTCCAAAAGAGCAACAGCAACCTCTGCAATGGTTCTCACCTCCCAGCCAGGGCCAAAGGCCTCATGACTTTCCAGCACCTCCACAGCTGGTTTGCATTTGAGCTCAAATAAAAACACAGGCTTGTGTCTAATCCAAACAGCCAGGGTATTATTCTGTTAGCAAACTGGGGGCCCTGGCTGCCTTCCTTATTAAAAACCCTTTAACGCTATTGATTAAACGGAGGCAGGACAACGTCTTTTTTTTCAGCCCCTATCTCGTACCTTGGCCTCCCCCCACCTACGCTCTAATCCGTGTGTGTCTGTGAGCTATTTGGCGCTCTCTGTTTTTAAGAAACATAAGAGTTTTATTTCCTCCCGAATTGATCCACAGGGAACAATTGCCCACAGAACCTTTTTATTAGACCCCTCGTAAACAGTGAGGGCTGCAGGGAAAGTAATAAAGTTGCCCTTATTGTTTTAACATAATATAACAAATGTATAGCTTGTGGGTGAGGGAAGTGGAGCCAGGCCAATAGGTACGAATGTACAATGTGTGTTTGTGTGCGTGTGTGTGTTGCTAGATCATAACTGATGACACGCTAGTACACCCACATGTACAATCTGTGTATACATTGTATATGCACACACATGTGCCAGTATGTGGGGGTTTTATGGACAATTTTTGCACGCACACACACATATAGGTGCAAAAATTATGTGTGTAGGTGCAAAAATTGTGTGTGTGTGTATACATATAAAGTACATACATATAAAATTACACGTATGGCAATGGGTGCACATGTCTTCATAAAGTATCCAGGTTGTACCCATCTTCATAATACCCACCCACGTGCGTTACATTTTACTTCTACTGAAGCCTGTTAGAACTGTTTCTTTCCCTCTTAACGTTCCCATCTCTGGCAGCGGTAGGTGATTTGGGAAGCCCCATTTTGCTTCCCTTCAACCAAGTAAGTCCTGCACATTTCTCTCTTCATTACTATATGTTTCTTTTTTTTTTTTTTTTTTTTTTTTA